CACTCAGTAGAGTGCGGCGCTTGAGAGCGTGGCGGCACTCCCGCTGAGGGTTCGGATCCCATACAGAGACCGGTCTGCTCACTGGTTGAGCGCGGTGCGGGCACGACACTGAGGGTTGCGATCCCGTTACCGGTCACAAAAAAAAGACAAAAAGGAAAAAAAAAATTTTTTTTTTGACGGAAACTACCAAATGGAAGTTTTGTTTGGTGATACTGCAATCATCCAATGAGAGAATGGTTAAGTAAACTATAGTACATTAACACGATGAAATACCACAGTTTATGTTTATCATAGGGGAAAAGCTTATGTAATAATGTTAATTTTAAAAAGCATGATACAAATTTGTATAGCATAGAACAATAATGATAGGTCACATTTATGGAACATTTGGTATGTGCCAGGCAGTTTTATGTACTTTACATGTATAATACATTTAACTCTCTCATGAGGTAGATACTATTATTACCCTCATTGTACAGATGAGAAAACTAAGGCACAGAGTGGTTAAGAAACTTGCCCAAGGTCATATAACTGTTAAGTAACCGAGCTGTGATTTGAACCCAATTAATCTGATTATAGACTAAATAAATTTAAAAATTATTCCTAAAAGACTATTCAAGGTACAGTACAATCATGGATGATTTTAAAACTTATTTTTATAATTCTCCATAATGAATACATATTAATTTTTAAAAATAATTATGAAAATAGTTTCTAAAAATGCAAAGTAATTCCAACCACTTACTTTTTTTAGCAAAGCTTATTGGGTTTTTAATAATAAAAAGAAACATATATGCTCAACACAGAACATTTGAAAAATAAAAAATAGAAACAAAGAAATTATCAGCCAAGGTGCTACCACTCAAAGATGCCACTGTCATATAGGTATACAGGTTGAGCATTTTGGATTAGGAATGTTCAGCCAGTAAGTATAAATGCAAATATTCCCAAATCTGAAAAAATCCAAAATCTGAAATACTTCTGATCCCAAGCATTTCAGATAGGGGATACTCAACCTGTACTTCCTTTTAGCCTCCCAGTTTTCTTCCCCCCCCCTTTACTATTCACTGTAAAATCCATAGAACTACAAAATGGAAAAGAAAACCCTGTTCTTAATTAAGTTCCTAAGAAAAACCATGACTGTTAACCTTTTAGTATACACAACTTTCCAGACTTATCTACTTTAAAAAAAAAATCAGTTACATAATATTCTACAAAATTTCACTTAATTGATTGTGAACATTTTCCAGCTATTCTACTACAAGATCAGTTTTTTTTTTTTTCCTTTTTTTTTGTCTTTTTTCGTGCCCGGCAACGGATCGCAACCCTCAGTGTTGCTCCCGCCCCTCGCTCAGGCAGTGAGCGGCCGGTCTGTATGTGGGATCCGAACCCTCGGCGGGAGCGCCACTGCACTTCCCAAGCGGCGCAGTATAGCAGTGCGCCACCGGGCCGGCCCTACAAGATCAGTTTTAATGGCTGATAATATTTCACCCTATGGCTACATTATTCTGTACCATTCCATCAAATTAGATTAAACTCAAATCCTATTTCGGATCCCTCGCTCAATGCTGCCTCAGAAAAAGGAAACATACATTATAAAACTGCAGAAAATTACATGGGTATCATTGCCAGATGATGATTATAAAGTTACTTAAAATATCAGAATCAATCCTACCTCTGTTTCTAATTTTCTAGACTGCTCATCACCTCTCATTTTATAGTCAGACAAATAAACTGACAAAGTTACAATGAATAATTCAAAATACTGTTACCTAAAACAATTAATGAACTATGAAACTTTGCCCATTTTAATATTCCAACTTAAATTATGAAATGCTCCCAAACAACTCAAACTACTTTTACTCTAATTTATCCTGTACATATCTGTGATGCAGATAAGAGTAAGCAAGAAATCTTATTTTTAGGTGAGAAAATCAAGGCCCAGTAACTTTTTTTGACTCCCTATGGAATGTGCTTTCTGTTTTCCAGCTTTTCTGGACTTTCTACCCTCTCAAGTTTTATACTTCCTATCTCAAAAAAGCATATGTTTATATGTTTAATTTATAAAAACAATGTGAAACAAAATTCTGAGATATTCCGAGGGCTTAACAAAACCAGAGTTAGCAATCACAGTCTAAACTGTCCTTAGGTATTTGTGTTAGGATATGAGAGAGACTCAAGTTTTATATTTTTATCTCAGAATTAAATAGTTTCCACACATTATTTCCCTGGGAATTTGAGCATCATTATAAGAAAAAATGTAATCTCTCTTAATCTCTTAATTTGTAATCTCTCTTAATTTGTAATCTCTCTTAATTTGTAAGCCTTTTGTCTTTCAGTATGTTTTGATAACCTCTTCACATGTACTTGACATTTTCTATCTTTCTTTTTTTGTTTGTTCTCCTTTCATTCCTTAATTCTGTTTTTAGAATTGGATAGGGTCACTCTAGCCAGAGTCCCTAGGCTGGAGGGCCCTTGAGTCCACATGCTTTTGGTCACATTCCTACTCCACCATGCATCATCAACTTTTCTTTACCACTGAGGCAGTATAACAGCCAGACTGCCTGGATTTGAATCATGGCTCTGCTGTTTCCCAGTTGAGTGACCTTTTGCAAGTTACTTACCCTCTCTGTGGTTCATCTGCCATATCTGTAAAATGGGGAATAATGGCATCTATTTCATAGGGCTGTTTTGAATATTAATTCATTTAAATTCCTTACAAGAGTGCCTGGCAAATAGTAAACACTATATAAGTGTTAGCTACTATTATTATTACTGTGGGACTGTTGTCTATTTTGTATTCCAGAAGGACATATAAAGAACATCACTTTTCCTGGTCATATTCCTTTCAAGGGCACACAACATTGCCATTTCATACATCAGATACTAAAGGTTGAGAACATTTGATGACTCAGGAAGAAAGACTGTTTGCTTTGACGGTTTTCTTTAAACATGCTTTGACGGTTTTCTTTAAACATGCTAAATATTCTTTATGGCCACTCCTCATTAGGAGTTTAACTTGAATAATTACATCTTTTGAAAGTTGTATGTAGATTTTCTTTTTAAATCACCATAAAATATAATGAAAATATTTACCTTTCAGATGTTGGATTAACACGTGATTAGATAGCTCAAAGTCCAGAAGCACATTTTTCTCTATCTTACTAGATTCATAGCATGCTTTTATCAGATTGGCATAATCAATAAAGAAAATATCAAAGTCTTACTATTATACTTTGGCTTCTGTTGTTTTGAAAACCATATCTCAAAAAAAAGGGAAAAAATTAATAAAAGGTGAAATTTTAAAAATAAATTAAAAAAAACCAACTATACCTCAGATTTACTTTGTAGATTTCAGACGTGGGATTTCTACATTGTAGAATATATAGCTATAGAGAGGTAGTCATCTTTAGTTTTTTTCCTAAAATCATTTGACACATTTCAACTTATAAAAAATCCATTCAAAAAAAACTTGATGAGTTTTTCATTCCCTTCTCCATTTCTGAAAGTTTGGTTTTTAAATTCAAACAGATTCTTCCTGAAGAACACCTAATTAATGGGTAGTCAATGCATCCTACTGCTGCCTCCCTACGGGAGCACCCACCAACAAAGAAACTGCTGCTTCTGGAGCCACTAACCTCTATATCCCCATTTTTCAAGTAGAAGCTGCTACCCAAAGAACCCTTCTCTACTCATGAGCTCACCAAGAGTTGCTGCTCATAAGCCTACAACCTTTGCCATCCCACTCTTTCATACTAATCTCCTTTCTATGGCAATAAGGTAAAGGAAAATAAGGAACATAATGTGGAGGTTGCTCTCACAGTCACAACAGGGTCCAAAAATTGTATTCCTAAATGTCTTTTCCACCCCCAACCAATTAAAACTCCAAAGAAATTTCTCCACTAAATAATTTAAAAAGGCCATGCTTTACTATGCGGTATTACTTTTGTAAGCTTCTGTAGAAATTTATTTGTTATAAAGAATGGAAATTCTGTGAGAGCAGAGAATTTTGTCTATGTATCTCCATCTCCAGCATATACTATATTTCATCATTTCTAAGTTGCCATCAATTATAAGATACATTTCAGATAAGCAAAAATGTAGAAAATAAACGTGCATCCTATAATCAATGAAATATGTTAACAGGGTAACTTGCACATAATAGGTGCTTAATAAATGCTTACTGAATTGCACTATATATGTATTTTTTAGCGCCTGGCCATGAATCATATTTTTTAAAAGTTTCTTTGCGCCAGCCCCATGGCTCACTCGGGAGAGTGTGGTGCTGGTAGCGCCGACGGCACGGGTTCGGATCCTATATAGGGATGGCCAGTGCACTCACTGGCTGAGCACGCTGCGAACAACACCAAGCCAAGGGTTGCAATCCCCTTACAGGTAAAAAACATAAAAAAAATAAATAAAAAATAAAAAAATAATAAAAATTAAAAAAAAGTGTCTTTGGGTAAGTATTTTGAGGCCCAAGCAACCTGCTTACAGACAAATCTATTGGGGGGTGGGGGGACAGAGAACTATAACTTGAGGGTTGCTTGTATTTCTAATAGCTAATTTGAAAAGAATGGAAGTTCTCCAGAGTGGTACGTTTCTATCTAGGTGTATGTCTACTTCTCTTCTCTTGCTCTCCTTACCTCATCAATTAGTTTCCTGGCATTCGCAATAGTGTAATCACCAGCAAATAATACCACTAAGCATGATTCATCACTGCTCTTCTGTCTCTGACCTCGGGATATTGGAACAATGCTCCTATTGGCTTCTGTGGAAATGCGGACAGCTTTGAGCTCTTCATCAGTAGTAGGTAGAGGAACATAGTCCTGAACCACAGCATCTTCTGGAAGAAGGCTCCAGTTGAGCTCTCCTGACACAGGTGTAAAGTCATGAATGTTACTCCATGTATTATTGAAGATACTTAACCCTGCATCTTTAAACTGGAAAGCTAATTCAGGGTAGTACCACTGAAAACAGCCAAACTTGATATTCGTGGAAGACTCAATGATGGGTTGAGTGGCACAGCACAAAAAGACTTCCAGCTTTCTACAATCCCTCACACGAAATTGTTGGCAGGCTAATGTGCACTTGCAATCTCTGCAATTCCGGAAAAACACACTGCCTTTCACGGGTCCCAGAAAAATTATGCAGTTAGTACAGTCATCAATGGTAATTGTAGCAGAGTGATCAAAAATATAGATGTTACAGTTCTCGCAGTCTTGAATGAGAAACTGTTGTCCTGCCACTCTCCCAGGTAAGCGACCTACTGTTTCATTCTTCAGTCCACTGAACATGTAGTCTTTCGGATCAACCTGCAGGGACAAAATGCAGGCCTTCAGTATTATTGACATTATTCAACAAACATCAGTTAAATGCCTATTGGGTGCCAGGCATAGTTCTTAGCACTAAAATAAGTTCCTAATCTCACTATCTTTGCAACACAGTAAGAAAACGAACAGGACAATTTCTTTCTCCCAATAAATAAAAGGCATGAGGGGGAAAAAAGGGAGAGGAAACTGTTATAGATAAACACTCAAGGACATATCCACCAATACAATGTGAGCATCCTGTTTCAAACACACCAACTGTAAAAACACTTTTTTGAGACAACTAGGGCAATATGTGCATGTGTGTGCACATACACACACAGAGCATACTAAATGATATTAAGAAATTTTTCATTTTGTTAATGGCACTGTGGTTATATGAGGGCAAAAGGCTGTATCAATTAGAAAAAGTAAACCGTTTAAAAATTATTAGCCTAGTACACGGTATATCTATAAGAAGAAAAAATGCATCTAGAGGACTCAAATGCCCAGTTCCTTTGGCAACTACAGCTCTGATTATAATATAAAACTTATGACCTTGGTAGGTTAATATATATACCTCCCAGGAGATGGACACACTCTCTCTCTGCTATCAAATCTTGCTTCTGGGCACACAATCCTAAAGGGCAGCCTCTGTGATACTATGGTTTGAGTATTCCTATGAGTTACCAGGTAACCCAGGTGACATCCACATCATCATTGCTACTGTCAATAGGTAAATATACTGTCAAATAGCCTATATGGAATTTACATAACTAAAAAATTTACTAAGTTTTGTGGAGTACCACTGTGAAGAACATATTTTTAAAATGATCTTTTAATAAAAGGGGCTATCAAATATTCAACTCATATTCCATATCTATCGAAATCACTATACGTGCTATTTCAGCTTTCTGATTCTTTTTCTTTCTTTCTTTTTTTTTTGGCAGCTGGCCAGTACGGGGATATGAACCCATAGACCTTGGTATTTATAAGGCTTCGCTCTAACCAACTGAGCTAACTGGCCAGCCCACACTTTATCTTTCTTTGATGCTTTGCTTTTGAAACTTCTACTTCCTTAAAAAATTCTGAAAGTGGAAATATTCCCGGATTGAAATATATTTATTTATCCCTGCGCAAATTAGTACATGGGTTTCAGTTTCCAAATCTAAAGTGATTTCTGCAATATACTACAGAAAGTGGAAGAACCCAAAGGCACAAGAATCACAATATATTAGTGCTTGCCTCTACAAATTTGATTCAAACATTTATTGAGCTATTTCTTTGAATTTTTCAAATTTCACATTTCCATCCTTAGATAATCTAAATGGTAGCTCACATAATCATTTAAATAGTATGCCTGGAGTCTGTCAGCACCACGCTCAGCCAGTGAGCAAACCGGCCATCCCTATATAGGATCCGAACCCGTGGCCTTGGTGTTATCAGCACCACACTCTACCGAGTGAGCCACAGGCCGGCCTGTATGCCTGGAGTCTGTCACATTAACTTTCTGGAACTTATCACTCAACCAACATTTGAACACCTAATATGAGCCAGACATTGTTTTAGGTACTAAAATGAATATGACCAGCTCTTTCCATAAAAGAAGTAAACACTCACCTAAACAGATAATTTAAAACAAACTGACCATGTAATAAGAGATTCTGAGAATATTCTGGAAACACAGAGAAAGGACACTGGGGTGGGGAGGAGGGGTGGGGTGGAAGACTACCCGCACAAGGTGAGAATGAATAAGCTGGAGTTCACCAGGTAAAAGAGGTGGGAATAAAGGAACCCCCACCTCCCATGCCAGGCAAAGGTAACAGAATGAACAAAGTAAAATTCTTCAGAGAGTGGGAGGAATACTGAAAGTGGCTTGGTGTTACCAGTGATACCAGAATGGTAGTAGATGAAGCTAGAGAGGTAGGCAGGAGCCATATTATAAAGCCTGGACATTATCCATGAGCAATAGGAAGCCACAGAACAATTTAAATAAGCAAAATTTACATTTCAGGAAGATCGCTCTGATAAGAATAAGGAAATGTGGAGCATGGATCTGAGAGGCTATTGCAGTCATCCAGAAAGGTTAGAACTAGAGCAGTAGTTAGTAGAGAAAAGAAGGTTGGGATAAATTTGAGAAATATTGAGAAAATGGAATCAGCAGATTTGGTAATTCAGTGGCTGTAGGAGATAAGGCAGAAAGATGAGTCACATAGTAAAGGCTACGTAAGGATACGGCAAGAAGGCAGCCATCTGTAAGCCAGGAAGAGAGCCCTCACCAGACACTGCATCTTTTGGCACCTTGATCTTGGCTTCCCAGGCCCCAGAACTGTGAGAAATAAACTTCTGTTATGTAAGACACTAAGTCTGTGGTGTTTTGTTATGGCAGCCTATCCTAGTCTGCTCAGACTGCAAAAGCTGTCTTCTTGCTGTAGCATAGGCAGGCCTTACCTCTGTGTGGAGAAGGAGAGGGAGAGAGCGAGTGCAAACAAGCATGCTAGCTCTCCGGGTGAATCTTCTTATAAGGACACTAATCCTACGGGATCAATGCCCCACCCTTATGACTTCATTTAACCTTAATTACTTCCTTAGAGGCCCCATCTCCAAACATAGCCACATGGGGGGTTAAGGCTTTAACATAAGAATTTGACAAACTTCTAGTCCGTAATAGCTGCCAGTGCTAAGGAGTTAAAAGTAATTTACTATTCTAAGTATTTTCTCTGGACATTCCAGATTTACTAGCTCACGGGGAGAAATTAATCCTATAGCTAAAGATTGTATGGCTAAATAGTTCTGTAGTATAAAATTATTAGGATTATTAATGTGGTCTTCAAATGAGAAACAGGATTTATGTTGCTGTACTTTCTCAATTCCTGAAAGTTCTTCAAAACAAAAAGTAATAAACAATCCGAACCTTAGACCCATTATAATTTTGCAACTAGTAGTTCTCAAAGTGCCTAAAATCACAAACATGGAATGGTCATGTTTTAAATTACTCTTTCACAAAAGCCATTTATGAAGTGAGCTTAGTTTAGGCTGTCTTTCTTAATACAGTCCTTAGAAGGTAATGGATATACAGTCGTCCCTCAGTATCTGCAGGAGATTGGTTCCAGGACCCCTCATGGATACCAAAATCTGTGGATATTCAAGTCATTTATATAAAATGGCATAGCATTTGCACATAACCTATGCACATCCTCCTGTATACTTTAAATCATCCCTAGATTACTTATAATACCTAATACAATATAAATGCTATAAAAATAGTTGTTATACTGTATTTTAAAAATTTGTATTATTTTCTATTGTTGTATTGTTATTTTTGCTGGATTTTTTTTTCTCCAAATATTTTCTATCTCCAGTTGGTTGAATCAGATGCGGAACCTGAGGATGAGGAGGGCCAACTATACTTTCAACTTCAAAGAAAAATTTCACAGGTTGGAATTCATCCGATATTAACTTAATGTCCTATAGTTACTAAACTAAGTTAAGCATTATTTTCCCAACAGAAAACAAAAGTGAATATCTTATTCTTCTACTGAGCAGCAATGCAAATATTTCATTAAAATTCATCTCTACAGTTAAACCTCCATAATGATAATCTGAAATAAAATAATGGATCTTGTTAATTTTAATGGAAATCCAGTCTGAGTAGAACTACAAAATAAGACTCAGGAATATAAGAAGCACTACATATGTGCCAGGCCCCATTCTAAGTGCTTTATAAATCATTCACTCAATCTGTAAAAATCCCTATGAGAGTTGTAGACTATAATTATCTGTTTTACAGATGAGGAAATGGAGGCACACAGAGGATAAATAATTTGCCCAATGTCACACTGTTAGTAAGTGTTTGAGCTGAGTCTCAGACCTAGGTAGTCTGGCTTTTCAGCACATTCTTTTGGCTTCTTCTTCATATTCAAACAAAAACAGTTGCTTACTGGATGCAAAAATCAATGGAATAGAGAGTTCAAAACCAAACATATATATACGACAAAGGTGCAAAGGCAATTCAATAGAAAAAGTATAGTGTTTTCAATAAATGGTGCTGGGACAATTGGATGTTTATACGTAAAAAAAAAACCCAAAAAATCTTGATCCATAGCTTGCACCATATATAATAATTAACTCAAAATGGATCACAGAACCTAAATATAAAACCAAGAACTATAAAAACTTCTCAAAGAAAAGAGAGGAGAAAATCTTTGTAATCTTGGTTAGGTAAAGATTTCTTCCATGTGAAACCAAACACAATCCATAAAGGGAAAAAAATGAAAGTTGGACTTTTACCAAAACTGAAAATGCTTGCTCCTCAAAAGACACTGTTAAGAGTAAACGAGTCATTAACTGGAGAAAATAATATTTGCAAAACACACATACAATAAGGGACTTGTATCCAGGATATATAAAGAACTCTCAAAAACTCAATAATATGAAAATAAATAATAAAAAAATGGGCAAAAGATTTGAATAAACACTTCACCAAAAAAGATATATGGGCAGCAAATAAGTACATGAATAAACACCAAAGAAGATATATAGATGGCAAATAAGTACACAAAAAAATGTTCAAAATCATTAGTCATTAGGGAAATGCAAATTAAACCACAATAACATACCACTACACACCTATTAGAATGGCTAAAATTTTTTAAAAACCTGACAACACCAAGTGAGGCGAGGATGTAGAGCAACTGGATCTCTTATACATTGCTTGTGGGTAAAACAGCACAGCCACTTTGAAAAATAGCTGGGCAATTATTTATAAAGTTGAATATATAATTCCCACATGACTCAGCAATCCTAAATTCCTAGGTATTTACCCAAATGAAATGAAAACGTTCACTCAAAAACCTGTATGCAAATGTTTAAGGTAGCTTTATTCATAATTACTAAAATTGGAAACAACCCAAATGTCCATCATCTGGTGAATGGATAAACAAACTGTAGTACATCCATACAATGGAATACTACTCAGCAATAGAAAGGAACTCCTGATATATGCA